ATATATATATATATATATGCATATATGCATATATGTTATGATAGGTGCGTGGCGTGGGTGATGGATGCGTTCATGGAGTGGAAATGGGGGCTTGCAGTGCACTTTGCATGCGTCTCGGGGGCGGCGCACGCACGCGCTCTCCCTCCACTTCCTTTGACTCCCTCCGCTTCCTCCCTGGCGGGGTGCGCCGCCGCCGCCGCCACCGCCTCACAGTTTGCTGCTGGCCTCCGCCATAAACGACCGTACCTCCTTCATCTGCGCCTGCGTGATCGCCCCGGACTGTCGCCAGAGCGGCAGCAGCTGCGAGAGCGTGACGACCGCCTCCAGGTCGTAGCCGAGGCCCCCGAGAAACTGCTTCGCCCCCATCTCCCGGTCAATGAGGACCACGATCGACACAATCTCCAGCCCGGCCGCCTTGAGCTTCTCAATCGCCTCCACCTTCGTCTCCCCGGTCGTGACGAGGTCGTCGATGATCACCACGCGGTCGCCCTTCTTGTACTCGCCCTCAATCACGGCCTTCGTGCCGTACGCCTTCGCCTCGCGGCGGGGGTACACCAGCGGGACGTCCATCTCGAGGGCGACGGCGGTGGCGATGGGGAGCGCCGCGTACGGCAGGCCCACGAGGCGGTCAAACTGCAGCGTCCGCAGCACCTTGGCGTACTCGCGGGCCACCATGCGCAGAATCGGCGGGTGGGTCACTAGACGGCGCAGGTCCAAGTAAATCGGCGACTTCTTGCCGGACTTCAGGGTGAAGCTGCCGAAGCGCACGCAGCGCGACGCCACAAGCGCCACCGCCAGGTCGGTTGAGGCGGTCTTGCAGAAGCGAATGCGGTTGATGTCTTCGCAGAGCTTCTGGGCTGCGGCGCGCGGGTTCCGCGCACGTGCCACCGCCCGGGAGACGTTGATGAGCAGGCCACTGCCGTCGGCACGAAGGCCGGCGTTGAGGGCCGCCTTCAGATCCCCGCCCTGGGCGCCAATGCCGGGAACGAGAAACCACAGCGTCGGGGCACGCACCCGCACGCGGCCGAGGGCCACCGGGTCTGTGGCCCCGACGACGAGGCCAACGTTCTTGTTGTAGTTCCACGCCGTCTCTGCGCGCTCGGCGACCGACTCGTACAGGTGACGCCCGTTCACGCGGAGGCACTGGAGTTCATTGGAGCCCTTATTGGAGGTTTTGCAGAGGACGAACACCCCCTTCGACGCGTACTGCAGGAATGGCGAGAGCGAGTCGGCCCCCATGTACGGCGACGCCGTAATGGCGTGCGCCTTGAGGTGCTCAAAGGCGGACTTGGCGTACGCCTCCGCCGTGTCGGCAATGTCGCCACGCTTCGCATCCAGCACAACGGGAATGTGGGCGGGGACGTGGGCAATCACCTGCCGCAGCGCCTTCCAGCCCTCCTCGCCAAAGAATTCAAAGAAGGCGGCGTTGGGCTTGAACGCGGCGGCGTACTCCGCCGTGGCATCAATCAGGCGCATGCACTCCTCCGCGGCGGCCGCCGCCGTCTTGGCGCGGGGGTCCAAGCCGACGCAGAGCAGCGTCGACTTCGCCCGCTCATTGAGCATGTCAAAGAAAGTCGTGGTCATGCCTCGTCGCGCCGCGCTGCTTTGGCCGATGACAAGACTATTTATATATAAATATAAAACCTTTTTTTTTGTTATTGTTTTTTCGCTCGTTAGTCGGTGCTATTATTTTTCTTTTTGCTTGCGTGCGGCGGGCACGTTGGGTCGCGGCGGAAAAAATGGAAGCTTTCCTGCTCCTGCGCGCTCAGGCTGGGGCCGCCAAGGGGAGATCACAAAAGAGATGATAATAGTAATAATAAAAGCAAAAAAGAAAAAAAGAAACGTGATGGCGGCGTCAAGGCCTCGCGGCAGCAATGAGGCTCACAAACACGACGGCGCGTCTGTGCCGTCGCGCCGGCACTCTAGGCAGCGCGTGCTTCGAGTTCCCCCCAATTCCATTGGATCTCTCTCTCTCTCCACACACCACCCGCGATCATTCCAAGCTGTGCCAAAGGAGGCCACGAAGCCACAAATACTACTAAAGCGCCCTGCCAACAAGACGCCAGTTGGCGTACGGCGACCAGCCGCACTTGGACTTCAGCTGCGACTCCGCCACAACCCACTCCGCGGCGAGGTCGAAGGTGCGCTGGGGAGCCTCGGACAGCCCCAGAGCAAAGATGCGGTTGGGGTTGGTGTGCATGAGCCGCACAACGTCCTCCAGCTTCAGGCTGCGCGCTTCGAGTGCCTTCGGCCGCGCGGCCGTTGGGTGCGGCCAGCGGCCCGCACAAACCGTGAGGAGCAGCGGAACGACTAGCTCAACCGCCGGCATTCCGCTCGGCGGGTTGGTCGCGTCGTTCTTCTCCTCCAGCGTGTGTGGCGCATGGTCGGTGCCGATGCAGTCCACAGTGCCGTCCAGCACGCCCTCCCAGAGCCGCTCGTGGTGCTCCGGGGGACGCACGGGGGGGTTCACCTTCACGCGCGACCCGCAACAGCCGTAGTCCTCCGTCGTCAGGAAGAGGTGGTGCGGAGTAACTTCGCACGTGACAGGCAGCCCCTCCCCCCGCGCCCGACGGACAAGCTCCAGGCCCTCGCCGGTAGAAAGATGGGCCACGTGCAGGAGCGTCCCATGACGCCTGGCCAAATCCACAGCGTAGGCGATGGAGGCGGCCTCTGACTGAACCGGACGTCGCAGTGAGTGCGATGCCGGCCCCGTGTACGGATGTGCCGAGGAAGCCGCGTCATTTTGCGTCGCATGCTCGCAGTGCGCCACGAGTGGCGTGCCAAGTCTGCCGCAAAGCGCAAAGGCGGCCTCCGTCACGTCGGCGCTGCTCTTCAGGTTCCCGGTGGAGTTGTCAAGGTAGAGCTTCAGCCCGGCGCAGCGAGCCTTGAGAGCTGCGTGCTGCGGCTGCGTCCACAGCGCCTCCAGCTCCCGCAGGTGCTCGTGGGCGGTGGCGCCAAAAAAGAAGCGGATGTCGCATAACGCCTCCACGGCCTTGGCGCGGCGCACCTTGTCTGCGAAGGCCGCGATGGTCTGCGTCGGCGGCTTCGTGTTGGGCATGTCACACACCACCCCGATGCCGCCAGCGTGGGCCGCCGCGGCCTCGCTCCGCATGTCGCCCTTCGCCTCTAGGCCGGGCTCGCGGAAGTGCACGTGGCAGTCCACAAGGGTGGGCAGCGCCACGCGTGTCGCGGCCGTGGCTTGCATCCCCCTCGTCCCGTGTGCCCGCGCCGCTCCCAGTCGGGTCAAGCGTAACGTCACCCCCCCGCACACACACACACACGCAGTCCACCGCGGCGGCAAGCAGCAGCTTCTACTGCGAGTTCCCAGACAGGGCGCCGCTACTCGCTCTCGCTCTCTCGCTATCTATCCCGAAGCCAGAGGCCACCACCCTGGCGATGGTCGCCGCAAGCCACTCCGCAAACACGACAGGCATAGGAGAAAGAAAAAGAGGGATAGAAAGCAGAATGAGAAGAAAAAAAAAACCTAAAAACGCAAATAATAAAAAAGGGGGAGAATATCCGTCAGTAGCTCACTTCCGTGGTTAAGAGAGCGGGCATCACCGGTCTGCTTGCCAGGGTGTCTCGCCATGTTCAATGNTAATTCAAAGCACTGGAGCGGAAAGTAA